TGACCAAAATACCGAACAGTGCTCGGGCTGGAAGACAGATTCGGCTTCTTTGTTGTTGCTACAATTTGGACTTGATAATGGCCTTTTTAGATCTTGGGCTCCATATAAAAGTTGTAGGCCTATGTCTTACCTTTCCATCCATATAAATTGGACCTAAATCTGAGATCTGTAGCTCCAGATATGATCCAATTACCAAACAGTGTTCCGGTTTGGATTGCACCGACATCTCTTTTCTAAGTTTGGCCATCTCTTATCCTTGCAATTTAAGTTCTTCAAGTCATCAATCAATCCTTTCATTTATGTGATAGGCCTGCATTAAAAATAGACATTTACCACAAATTAAAGGTATCTTATATTATTAGATATATTATTATAAAACATGCTTTAGTTAAGGAGTTATTGATACTTCAAGTGCAAAATGATGATATAAAACCATGATAAAAATGCACTTTTAAGTACTAATCAGTAATCCTTTATATTAATTATATTCTAGTCCCTAATTTCTAAAATTTATATACAATGAAGTCACACTTGATTAATCACCTCATTTTAATTTCAAATTAATAGTTCTTATATATGTAACTTATTAGATTCTTTAATAAGTTAGCCTAAATATAAATGATACGTAAAATAATATTAAATAAATTAATTGATTTATATTTAATAATCAAGTACAATGTCTAACAACTTGTCATGATTCTTTAAATATTAGAAAAATTATAAGTGATTTGTCGTAACTTTTCAGTGACTAATTTCTCAGTGTAGTTAATATCACTTCATAAAAAATGTTCCAATCTAGATATTATAGCATGAAGTATGCTTATTTTGTTAAATTATGTTAGTTCTCAACATTATAATAATTTATTCTTTGAATAAGATTTTGAAACTCTTTTCAAAACTTATTGCACCTTGGCTAAGGATTTTACAATCAATATTATTTAAGAATATATATAAAAAAATTAATTCACCTGAGGTGATGAATCCTCTCTTAAGTACTTAAATATACTCATATAGTTTATATTATCCTAATATCTCCCCGTTTGTTATCCTTGATTAGGACAACGTGTGATCAAGATCAAAATATAACACTTCTTATATAAGATAACTTAGTTATCTCAATTCTAAGGGTCACTTACACAACTATCATAAGAACCTTTTCATATATATATATGATATCTTTATATAGAATTCTTTTGCGGGTCAATTTAGTATACATGTTTCTTTTTTATAATTTCTCCAATCAAATAGAATCGTCTAAGTGCATTTTTAGACCTTTGATGAGACCTTGATTCCTTTGCTTATACAATGGCACTATTGTTATTACAATATAAGACTAATGGATTAACAATGTTACGAACTATACCTATTTCAGTGATGAACTTATTAATCCAAACATTTTTTTTTGGCACCTCAATGCATAAATGTATTCAACTTCAGTTGTGAAATCAATTGTAGTCCCTTACTTGGAACTCTTTTAACTCACAATTCTATAATCATTTAAAGTAAAAACATATCATGGTTAAGATTTGTTATCATCAATATCTAATTAAAAACTAGAATCTAAAAAACTATGAATTATAGTTCATGTGCTCCATAGACTAAAAAGACATTCTTAGTTTTTTTTAAGTACTTTTGAATGTTAAGTACTTAAAAATATTATTAAGTACTTAAAAATATTTTTAACTATCTTCTAATGACTCTTACTAGGATTACATTGATATCTACTTGATATGCTAAACTCATAAGATACATATAGTCTTGTACGTAGTATCATATATATAACAGATTACATAACCAAAACATAAAGAATCTTTTTCATTTTATCTCTCTCAATTTATATCTTAAGACACATATCTTTAAAGAGATATTTCTTTGCAAAATAGATAAATATCTTTTATTGGATTCTTCCATACTAAACTATTTTTTTCTGTATATATGGAATGAAACAATTCAAATAACCTTCTAGATCTAATCTTTATTTCTGATATATACGCTGCTTCTCTTATATCCTTTATTAAAAAAAATTCTTGGACAACTAAATATTTACTAATTGGAGTAAATGAATGTGGTTTTATGTTAATAATGTCATTTACCTATAGTATTAAGAAAATAACTCCACTCATATTAACCTTTTTATAAACACAAGGCTTATCTATATTTTTTATGAAATCAAACTATTTGATTATCGCTATTAGGTCATACTGAGGTTGGACCTAAAGCTATTAGTTATGTTAAACAGTCAAACTCAAAGCTATTGGGTCCTCCAAAGTTATTGGATGCTACTTAGGGTTGAATTCAACGCTATTAGGTCATGCTATCGAGTCTATTTGTGCAGCCACACCTAATATCTTTAGGTCTGGCGACAAAGTCAAATATAATAGCCACACTTAGGTTTGGCTCCGCAGTCATACCTAATATATTTGGATCTGGCTATAGAGCCAGAATGTGTCCTGCTGAGGCCAAACCCAAAGCTCTTTAGCATTGTGCTGGGGGTAGGACCCAACGTTATCGGAACCTGCTAGATATCCAGGTCTAAAGTTATTGGGTTTAGCTATGCAGCTAGACCCACAACTATTGGGTCTCATTGGGGGCAAGACCCAACTCTAATGGGATAAAAAATTTAATAAGAGAAATAAAAAAAATCTAAATAGAAAAAAAATTAAATTGGCAATATCCAAACCCAATAAACAGGGATTTGGCTGTCCCAAAACTATTTTGAATCCTGTTAGGGGCAGGACACAATGTTGATGGGTCTTCCTAGGGGAAGACCCAAACCTGCTCGCAGTCGAACCCAATGTTAATGGATCCTGCTGTACAACTGGATCCAAAGCTATTTTTGATCTTGCTGGGGGCAGGACCCAACACTATTAGGTCCTGTAAAAAAAATAAAAAATAAAAAAACAAATAAGATTGGCAATATCTAGATCCAATGCTATTGGAAAAAAAGAAAGATACTTTTAAGACTATAAAGATATATAGTTAGCTTGATATGTAGAGGAACTCGATGAACTTTTATAAGTGTAGGTCATAAGAGGTAGTCCATCTGAACTATATATCCCTCATTCCCTCATGTTGTTGAAAGGCATTTTTCACATCCCTTGGTAGCTTTATATATCAAACTCCCTCCTTCTACACGCCCTATAAATTCTACCAATTGGCTCGAGAGCTATGCCAAAATTCAATAAAAGAAAAGAAAAAAAATCTAAAAAGAAAAACAAATAACATTAATAATTTTTAGACCCAATATTATTGGGTTTTGTTGAAGGGTGGACTTAACACTATTGAAATATTTTAGAAGCGATTTTAATTTGGCTTCCAAGTTATACCTACTATCCTTGGGTTTGGCCCAACGATAATAGGTCCTACTAGGGGACAAGACCTAAAGCTATTAGGCCATGCTATGCAAACACATCAAAGTTTTTTTGAATCTTGCTAGGGGTAGGATCCAACGCTATTAAGTCTTGTTAGGGGTAAGATTCAATTCTAATGGGTCCTGCTTGAAAAAAAAATTAAATAAAAAAAAATCTAAAAACATATATATATTTGCATAGCCAGATCTTATAGAATTAAATCTAACTAAGTAGTCAAATCTAATTGCAGTGGTTTTTTCTGTGGAGCTAGTTGAGTCTGACTCTATAACTAGATTCTACAGTGTACAACCAAACCCAATTTCCATGCATTACTAAAATAAACCCCAACATTCAAAATCTACAGCACCAATAATACACACTCGGGACATTAAGAATCCCCTCAAAACACACTAATGGCTCAATTATCATCCCATGTAACACCATCTTGGAAAGATGAGTTTAATATTGTTATCCCAACTATAGGGAACTTAGATTTCTTCAAGCAACGGAGACCTTTATTTCAAGCTTATAGAATTTGCTGACACTCGGGCACTTCCATTCCATGACCATTTCCTTGAGATCTTATATGGACACATCTTGAGCAAAGATGCAACACTTAGCAAATGATAAATGCTCTTATTATTTTCATTACTCTTTTATCATCACCTTTAGAGAAATATCTTATATTCGTTTTTAAACTCAACTACAGAAAATCCTAACTTTTCTTCAATCAAATGCAGAGTTAGACTGATGAAAATACATGTTTTAATGGACCACCATTCTGCCTCTGAGTTTAAAGAAGGGTGGAATGTAAATTATAAAACAATCTTGTTCCTGTAGATCAATGTAAATAGGGTGTTTTTTGGTGATTAATTTGGTGACTGTGATCTTGATAACAACGGGGTCAGGTTTTTGTGTTCTCATAAAGTATAAAGTTTGAAGCTTTTTAGTGGCTATGGGTTACAGATTACATCCAAGAAAATTTGAAGAATCATCAATGGTAAGGTTTATGGTGTAGATGAGTAATCTTCTGATCTTGGTGATTGTTGAACAATATGTCAATGAATTGGATAAAAATTTATTGGCCTTTTCTTCTTGTTCTAACGTTTGCATTGTGTGCAAGTTCTTGGTCTTGTGTAGGCTTGCTAATCCCTTTTATTTTCTGTTTTTAATACGTTGTGGTTGGTATGTTGATGAATTCGAATAGGATTTGGTGCTGCCTAAACTTTGTGACTAATTAGCGCTTTGTTTGCGCGCGCGCGCACTTGATTTTGTACGGGAGTAAGAGCGATCCAAGGAAGCAAACAAAAAAATAACTCGTAAATATTTTAAAATTTTAAAGATCCGACTAATGATGGCATTCTATAGTTATTTTAATGAAAATAATCTTTAGAAATTCTTATAAGAATTTAAGTTCAATACAAGAATTGAATTAAAAATATGAACATGAGAATGGAATGCTCGCTTCTGGTGCATGTTTTAAAACAGGATCAACGAAACTACATCCTTTCTAAATTGCAGAAAATCTGAACTCTTGACCGCTTATCGAAACGAAGCACAAGTCTAAAAACATGGATCACCACGGATTACCGTGAACCGACTTTGCAATCCGTAACTTCTAATGCTATTTTCATCCAAGCACAAACCAAATTAAAAACAGTATCACCATCCCTTTCTTCAAGCATAAACCACCAAAGAATCATAACGATTTTTCAAACAAGAGTGCAAGCAAGCAAATGTCACATCTTGACCATCATATCCAACTCAGTTTTGGTATCACAAAGACTAACTAATGCTAAGCTAAACCCTTCACCACAGATGCAAAGACAGTGCTAAAATAATCCCCTGACAATCAGACTGCTGCTACACTCCCGCCACACATCCTCACATCAAGTGTCGCTTTGCTGCTGTTGAGGTTGAGTCTGCAGCCATGGCATGAGTGCCACTGGAGGTTGTGGCTGCTGGGCTTCATAGGCAGCTGCTTGATCAACTGGCTTTCCCATGATCATCCCTGGAGGTCCCACAGGATGCTGAGGAACATAATAGTATGGAAGATCAGCAGGAGGGCCAACAGGAATAGTTGCCTTAGTGACCCCAAGACCCTCCTCTTTCAACTCATCTCTTGGAATAATATCAACTAAGAAATCAAAAACATCAGTCCTGGAAATTGCAGCTGCAATATCGTTCTTCTGTAGCGTCCTCCTTTTGTTCTCTTCAGTATGGATCCAAGAGCGCAAGGTGAGCTCCAAGATGAACATTTCACACGCTTTAGCAAAAATAACAGGAGCCTCTGCTGAAATCATCCGAACATCTTCATCAGCTTTCATTATCTTCTTAATCCGAGCAAGTGGAAGGCTATGGTTCTTGAAGTCAGTTGTTTGTTCAATTTCCTGCATTTGGTTGGTCCAAAACATCAGAAGCTGCTGTTGCTGCTGCTGCTGCTGTTGGTGGTGGAAATGTTGGGCCTGCTGGTACGTAAGTTGGTGTGGTGAATTAGAGAAAGTGGCTGGAGACTGAGTTGAGGAGGGGATGGCTATGGAAGGAGTCCCAGAAGCCACCAATGGAGCAGTTTGGTAGGGGGTAGAAGCATAGGCCATCTGACCTGCACCAGCTACTACAGGTTGCTGCTGTGACTGTTGCTGTCGGGTTTGTTGTGATTGGTCCATGGATGCTTGTAGAGTTTCTTTGGCCCTCTTTCTAGCTATCTCTCATCAGAAACTATCTCTCATCAGAATACTATAAAGGTCAAACAAAGAACAACACATTCTCAGGAGTAATCACAAACTCAGAAACACTGACTAGAAGCACAAAAAAAAAAAAAAAGGGCTAAACTTCTTCAGTGTAATTCTCACAATCGGACAGCCTGCAACAGCATCCAAAACCCATTAGAAACGTATCAAAACATCTAAATTTTTACACAAATGGAGGAGAAACAGGAGTAAAGATTTGATTAATGATTAGACTTGAAGGGTCAATCTCATAAATTCATAACCAGTGAAATAAGTAAATCTCGAGAATGACCAATTTCCTCACCAAGTTGGATCTCCTCTTCAAGTTCCAACAACAATATGATACCACATTAATATTCATACAGATTCTCTATCCTTCCAAAGAAAGAGGCAAATAACTCTTAGTGCTTCTATCCACAACAACCTGGAGACAAATGACTTGGCTTCCCTATCCATCAAAAGTCTTCTGAAGGCACAAGCATCCATCCATTCTTGCTATTGAACATGTCTGGTTAAGCTTTGTCACCACAGATTTGCATGCACGTGCATGTGAGCAATGAGACTATAAGCTAGTCACTAGTCCTTTGCTTGTTTCACTATTCTATATCCAGTACACTACTAGATAGTTGACCTAATGAATACACATGATATATAACCTTCTACTAACAGTGCTTAAAACTAGGAACCCAGCTCCTCTCCTTAATTAACTACATCTTCCATCAATTACTTACAGGCGTTCAGGAATCAGTAAGTATCTTAAACTACATTATTTTTAAGAGAGCGGTACCTCCTTTTCGAATACATGAGCATCCAGTTTGATGATGCACCCTCAAAAGTTAATTATAACAGCATAATCATTTTCTTTCTAGCTTTACCACTGTGAAAAAATTAAATCATCCAGAAAAGTTTGCTCATGATAAGACACCTTCTCTTAAAATTAGGTTTTCTTGATAAAACCAATCAACAACTTCCTCTATCATCATGAATATAAACCTTTGATGACCAGGTATCTCTGCATTGATATACTTTCAAATCCTATCACTTCTGCACTGCCTTCAACCATGTTGAGCTTGTATTGTCATGTCTCGCCATTAGATTTCAAGAATACACCCCAAACTTTTACCATGGATTCTTCCTATGAATACATGCAAAAAATTCAACCACTCCACATTTGAACCTTTCACAGCCCTCTTAATTTTGGGGTTCCTCCAAAATCCTGAGTCCTTAAATCATTAAATCATTATCTATATTAAGCTTAAAACCTATTTGTTTTTTAGTTTCAAAAACACTTTTGAAAAAAAATAATTTTTTTTTATTTTTTTCTGTACTAAATTAATTATTTTTATGTTTTCAAATCATTTTGTTTGATGTGCGAATGTCAAAAATAATTTTAAAAAAATTAATAATAATATTTTGATGCATTTCCGAGTAAAAAAACACTTTAAAAAATAACCGCTATCACACTCTCAAACACCCCATTACCCATGTACTGAAAAAACATGAAGTCACAAAGATCACAAGAGAACATTATAAATATCAATTTCCCAACTACTGTTCCATGACAAAATGAGATCCTAGAGAGGGAATTTTGGAGTTTTACCGTTCAGCATTTTTACATCAAGTGGCTGCTCTTAAAACTTGAACCTAAACAATATTATTGTTGCAAATTCAAGACTTTAGCCATTGCAGCAAAATATGTCCCCTAAAAATGCATGCCACCAAACAACAAAATAAATCATGATAAAACCCAAAATAGAATGCATGCCATCTAACAAAACACATTTTGTACAAGTCTCACATTACAGAGAAACTGAAAATTTGCAGATTATAATGAAGAAAAGGAAAGGGAAGAGTAAAGGGAATTGAAACTCGCATCAATCAAGACATAGCTTCCATAAGCTCTAATTTTGGTCAAATCCACAATTTTACTCCCATAAGAGACCCCTCAAAACTCATGTATACTCCAGAAATTGAGAAATTAATACATGCATGTATTGAACCATACACAAAAACATTAATCTTAAGAAAAAATCCAGTAAATCAACAAAAATCAAACACATCAATCTCTTCCATCAAAGAATCTCAACCAACACACTTGCTTAAGATTCACTAGCTAAATAACAATTTCGATTCAATTTGTCATCACTAAATCATCATAATCAAAGAATAATCACTAGTTGCTTGAAATCAAAAAACCAACTCATGCATGTGATACTATTCTTTGTTTGGCAGCTTAGAAAGTGAGAAAATAAAAGAAAAGATTGGAACTTTATCTTAGCTGTTAGAAATGAAAAAAAAAAAATACTGGAACTCATACTAAAATTCGAAACTTTCCCTTCAAATTTCTCAACTTTTCTCACCAACCAAACAGAAACTTAGACACAACACACAAACTTCTGCTAAAAAAATCAGTAATTCCAAAAATAAAAAGAGCCCATTAAATTCAATAAAGTCTGAAAGAGAACATACCCACCAAATCTTTTTAGCTGAATCTTCTCTGAAAGCTCAAAAACCTAACAGAGAGATAGAGATCGTTTTTTAGAGGGAGACAGTGAGAGGAGTCAAAAAGGAGGGAGCTTTTGAAAGTGTAGAGAGAGACCCTTCCAGGGGCATCTTTGTTGAGACACGTGTCGGACATTGAGAGTTCTGTCTATTAGAGAGGACTTTTTAAGACACGTGGTTGAGTGTTAGTGGGTGCTGAATAACTAAGAGGTTTTCAGGTGAACCGCTGTGACGTATACAGAACTCGTCGTCACGGTATTTTAGTAGTGAAAAGAAGTCTGAGGGTGTTTTGGGGAATTTAATATTTTTTGTGAGGAAGCTCACGTGGAGAGCGCGTGCTGTGTCAGGAGTGGAAAGAAAGGAGAGTACATTCCACTGCCCGCTGATGTCACGTGGCACGTGACATGCTTGTTTTCATTTTGTGTCCGTTTGAAAATGTGTTAAATTTTATTTTTTAAGTGTTTTTTAAATTTGAAAATGTAATTTTGATGTATTAATGTTAAAAAAATTAATAATTTTAAATTTATTTTCAAGTAAAAAATATTTTTAAAAAATTATTTATCACAATATTAAAAACACTAAACCTCAAATTAATTTCTTCATATTATAAGTTTTTTTAAATATATTCCTTGAATTTATTTAATACTATATATAAATATATTAAGTAAAATAATGATTTAAATCACATAAAATTGCTTACATATATATATATATATATATATATACTATGAGTTTAAAATTATTAGTTTTTTATTTGCCTGCATTTTTGCATTTTCACTATGAGTTGGACACAAAATTTTTAAAATGTTAAAAGATATATTTAGATTTATAAATTTTTTTGAAATTATCATTAAACTTGGTGTAATAATATAAAATTGAAAAATCCCTACCCAACTTTTAAAATGATATTTAACTAAATTACTAAATTTGTGACTCGAATTATGAATTTTAATAAATTAAACTAATTTTTTGTTTTATTATATCAGAGAAAACACCAAGATTAATTTATCATCCATCCAATATTTAATGTAAAATTCAATAAAAACCCCATGAAAATGGAAAAAAAATAAGATGTAAAAAAAAGTGTCAAAACATCTCAACCTCACTTTTTGATAAATATTTAATCAACCCATCAAACTCGCGACCTGAGTTATAGTACTTGATTAATTTAATTCTTTTATTTTACCATTAATCTAACATCGAAGAATAAAATTGAATAACAAAACCACTCTAATTGATAGGTTTTGAAATGAATAATTAAAAAAAATACAAAAGAGCTAAGGTGAAATAACCTTAGTTGCATTGCTGCGCTGAGTCTCAAGAGCTAGGCATATAGGCCTAAGGGAGGCCCACACACGTGGCCCATCTTCATCCTCTCCTTGCCTTTTTACATATGAAAAAATAAACACATAAGGTAGGTCTAAAAAAATAAATGGTGGAATTGGCAACAAAAAAAAAATAAAAAATAGAATGCAAAAAAAATCTCAACTCGACTCTTTGAGTAATAGTTAGTTAATTTGCGAAACTCGTGATCTAAATTATAAAATTTACTTGATAGAGTTATTTATTTTAAATCAAATAAAAACCTTGTTTTAAATAATGAATTAAAAAAAACAATTAAAACAAAAGTTCAGCTTAGCTACACTGGGTTAGGCCTTAAGAGTTGGGCACATGGACTTAAGAGAGGTCCTTGTACTTGGCTTATCATTGCCTAGCCTTTCCTTTAAAAAATAAAAACACAAATAACATGTCCTTGAAAAAATGATAAATTGACAATAAAAAGCCAAAAGATATATAAAAAAAAAAGTGGGAAAAAATCCCAACTTAACTATTTGATTAATATTTAATAAATTTATCAAACTCACGACCTAAATTATAGACTTTAATGGGTCAATTTAATTCCTTTATTTTATTATATGATAAAAAATATGAAAAAAAATGATTTGCTATCAACTCAATACTAAAATATAAAATTAAATAAAAACCTAAATATAATCGATGGACTTGAAAAAAAGTAATTAAAAAAAAAAAACTCTATCACATTGAACAAGGCCTCAAGAGTGTATGAGCCCAAAAGAGACCTTTGTGTTTAGTTCATCTTTGTTTGCCCCTTTTTTTTTCTTAAAAAAAATAATAAACATAGACAACAAGTCGTCTATGTTCATTTTAAATCAAAATAATATGTTCATTTGAAATCAAAATAATATACTAATAGTTGTTTTTTGTTAACTGAGGAAAAAATATAAAGCCTAAAATCTTGAACTTGTGACCTCACATTACTTCCATACATTAACCATTGTACTGTAATAGAAAGATTGTAACAAAATGACTAAAAACACATATTAAGCTTATTTATTGTTCATATGAAAAATTAAATTGTCTCACAACTTTTTTAGTTGTTAGTATAATTAGTTTACACGGTCTTATTATGTTGCGACTCGAATTAAATTTTTTTAACATAAAAAAATTATTCAAACTACAAAAAACTATTTGGTATTATTATCAAAGATGATTTAACGGATCAACTTTAAAACCTTCTGACCCACTCCTTACATAATCAAGGTTTAAAATTAAACCATATGAGAGTTGATCTAATATGATCTAGTAAACATGAAGGTCCAAAAGCGACCCAGATAATGAGAAAAAGCATAGACTCCACTAAGTTTTTAATAGTAAGACAACAATATATTATATCAGCATGAGTTTCACGGTGCAAACCATCAAATTCATGATTTAGGTAATGGACTTGACACGACTAAAATATTGATTTCTTCTTCCAAGTGCAGGGGTGTCAAAGTAATAAATAACCCGGTAAGACCGGGGTCGAACCACAGGGAGGTTAATTGTATAAATTATAAACAACAATTATAAAACAACAACAACAATAATAATAACAATAATAATAATAAT